ATGAAGGAAAAAAACCTTGAGCCTTTAGAACCATTTTAAGTCAAACCCCCATAATTGACACTTAATCACTCTTCACCATGTAAACATATCCCTTGACCTAAACCTGAAGCCCAACCCTTAACACTTAATGTTACCCAAAGAACTAAAGCATCACTCCTGCCATAATTTTTTTTTTAGTCTTTCTTTGTCTTCTTCCTTTCTGGGTGATACCTGCACCCACTCAAATCAGTGAAAGGAAGTGAGGGCACTTTAACTAAAAGAGGACACAGACAGCATTAAACAAAAAAAAAACTGACAGAGCTGTGAACTAAGTATAAAGTTTTGGTTGGAATTAGGCTTTAATTTAATCTTCCCACTAACTTAAACTTTTGAGTTAACAATCAAGCATTTAAAGCGGTTGTAAGGGCTGAATGTTTTTTACCTTCATGCATTCTATGCTAGAAGGTAAAAAGAAACTTTTTGTGCTGCTCCCCCCACAGCCCCCCCCCCCAATACTTAGTCTGATCTCGATACAGCAATGTGAACAATGAGCCATTGGCTCCAACTGCTGTCAATCACAGCCAGTAAGGAATGAGTGGGGGGTGGGGCTGAGCTGCGCTCTCTGTGTCACACAGAGTGGGGCTTGGGAGCTTGGAGCGAGCTTGCATGAGTGGCCCAGAGCAAGTGGCTTGCTCTGGGGGCACTCAACGGGAGGAAGGTCCAAAAGCTCCAGCGGAAGACCAAAGAAGAGGAGGACTAGGGCTAGTAATTATAAAATGTTTTTTATGTAAGAAAAAAAAACATGAACCTTTAATATCACTTTACATTTAACCCTTTAAAAGGAATTGAATTCTGGAAGATGTGCCAAAAAGGACTTGTCTCCAGTATTGACTGTAGGTGACCTGCAGCTGATCTTTCCCAATGACTGACTTATCATGTTTTATTGTGCACTGTGTAGTGGTGACCATCTTGGTAAAAGAGAAACTGTTGTTTCATTATATGAGAGATTCCTGCCTGATGGCTGGTGGTGTAATATTTAAAAAGCGGAAGGAGAGGTACAAAAATCATAGATTGAAAGAAGCAAAGCAGGAGACCCTTGCAACTCAGATTCTCAGATACAGCTTCCTCTCCAGCACAAAGAAAAGGGTTCAGAAGTGACATTACCACATCTCATGCAGTGACTTAGATCTCATACTGCAGTTATATTTATGCCGAAGCATGGGAACCACATTATTTATTTTTCATGAGGAATTCCAGAAAAAAGCAAACTACTTACAGTAGGTACAATTGAAATTTCTAGATGCCGCCTCTAATATTGCAAATGTTCACTTTTTGAGTTTAGGTTGACTTTAACTCCTTACCTAAGACTAAACTTTAATCCTTAACCTAACCCTTTACATAATCCTACCCTTAATTCTAAACATTGAACACTGAACTAACTGATAACACTGCATGAAACTTAATAATAACCTTATCCATAGTGAAAGTGTCCTGTACCCAATCCTTACAGTCCCTGCATAAAAGTCTTACAATACGAATATATGGGTTCTAATTACCCCACAAATATAATTTTCTATGTACAAGCTCTTTGTCCTTAGTCATTGTATTGCATGTTAGTGTATGTAGTCAGTTGCAGAATCAAATGCAGTGTGATAAAGACAGAAAAGACTGCATTCCCATTCTTTCTTGCCTGGTACAGTAGATTGCAATATTCCTTATGGTAATAGAATACATTCCTCCCACATTCCTCCCACATGAACAAGACCATATCAGTGTCACTGTAATGCAGTTAAATGGCTGGGACATGATAATAAAGAATGTTCCTTCTTCTTTGGCATTTCCATTACAGTTTTAACTGGGTTAAAAACAATCACATTACCCGTACTGGGAACTTTCTTAACAGTGTTATTCTAATAATTATACAACATGAGCAAAGTAGAACAGTGTAATTTTGTGACATGTCTGCAAGAACAAATCATTATTCTTTACATTTTGGATGAAAGTGTTCACTGTACAACAATTGCTAGTGATTTGTATTGTCTCAAGGCTTCCAGCTGCGCTTGCTAAGTTAGCAGCTTATAAAACATGACAATTGTTCTTGGTCACCTCTTTAAAAATGGATGCAACAAAGCCTTAGAGTTTTGTTAGAAACAAGTAGTGTAGCGAGCGCTTACTGTAATTAAGATATGGTAAAAAGCCGCTAGAACACCAAAAAAGGTAACCAACATAACCTTCCAAGATAATATATAGACAAAAAGGTGCAGCGCTAATAATGAAAAAGTGTCACAGGTGAGCACAGACAAACACACATGTGAAGGAAACAAGAACAGCAAGGAGGTGGCTGTGAGTGAAGTTTCAATGAAAGTCAATGGGAGGGGTGGCTGTGAGTGAAGTTTCAATGAAAGTCAATGGGAGGGTACCAAGTTTAAGGAGGGACTCCAGAGGTGTATGAGTGTCTGATGTACCATGGAACCTGACCAGGATGGATGACCAGTGAGAACTAGGGAGCGCAGCTTTACCTGAGTGTGGAGAACCTAGATGTACCTGAAGAGAGGAAACTTCTTTCATGCGTATTTTAAACGCACTTCTGGTGAGTGCGCATTTAATTTATTTCCTGCTCACTTTTGGATCATTCACCCTGATTTGTAAAGGAGAACTGGCAGAATTGGCACATCACATCCTTTTACATATCTGTGGACACTAGATTGATCATCGAACTTATATTTGTGACGAATATATGATCTCATGTCCTCATTTTTTCTACTCTTGTAATTGAGTGTATGCTGACATTTCACTTTTTCATTATTAGCGCTGCACCTTTTTGTCTATACCTTAGAGTTTTGTGCAGCAGTTCCTGACAGCAAAAAAAAGGGCTACATCTTAGTGCACATAGACAACAATAGGGGTGGTGAAAACAGGAGGTTGATCTGCGTTTTTACTGCCTCCTGATCACCCACCTACAAAACAAAATTGCAGACCATGGCTGCAATGCTTTGTTTTGCAGTGTGGCAAACTTAATTCGCCATGTCATGTTTGGCAGGTGGTGATATTGAAGTCAATGAGGCCATGCCCTAACTGCATTCCAACTGCTTGGCAAACAGTTGCGGAATAGCATTTCAATGCAAAATCCACCTTGGGATTGGAATAAAAAACAGGCATTCAGGATTTTACAGTAGTGCCTCCTAAACATCTGCAAAATGCCTTTCAACCACCTCCAAGAAGCAATCCACCATGTATGACACTTCAGTATTGTGATAAATTTAGCGATTGTGTGAATGAAGCTGCCATTACACGTTCCTCTATTAATTATATATTTATCTGAGGGATTGCTAGATGGATACCATTAGCAACATGTCAAGGGGAAAGGATTTGAAATCTGCACATAGAGGATCCCAGCAACCATAAGAGTAAGGTAGAATATACGGTGTGGCATAGAACTGAACCCCTAGATTATTTTCTTGGATTATTATTTAGGGCTCAAAGTGACATGGGAATGGGAGCTGCAATAGCTTTCATCCAGGCCTTGCTATTGCACTAGGCTACTACTGCATAAACTTTGCCTTGACGCTGTAATCTGATTTTATGGAATCCCCAGTTCTTGAGCCTACAAATGTGTAATCTTGCTCTGTGCTGGATTCAACTCTGTGGAGGCCCCTAGGCAGTCGAAACCTTGGGACCCCCTGTCACAAGTTATCCTGCAGCCTTCTGTTGCTTTGTCTTACCTCCTTGCTGTTTGTGTTTCCTTCACATGTGTGTCTCTCTCTCTCTGCTCACCTATGGGCGTCGTCTGCTATTCCCTGGGTTTTATGTTCTTCCCTTTCATCACTTCCTGGCCCGCCTCCTTGTCTGCCTGTCTATTTAAAACCTGCACAGTCTGTCCCACATTGCCTGAGCAACATTTGTTGTCTGTGCTCCCCAGTGTTCTTCTAAGTATCCGTTCTAGTGTTTCTGTGTACCGACCCCGGCTTTGTCCCTGACTTCTCGCCTACATTGTCTACCTGTGTACCGACCCCGGCTTCGTTCCTGACTTTGCTCGTCTTCCACCTGTCCCGACTTCGGCTTGTCTTCTGGATCTCCTAGTCTACTCCCATTGCACCCTGCTCCCGCTAGCGGTCTCTTCTACCACAGCTGAGTGTAACTGGGGGCCGCGACCTGGTTCCAGCCTGCTCCAAGTCCATCCCCACCATCAGGGGCTCTGGTGAACAAGCAGGCTGGGGCTTAGACTCCGCGCCCTGGGGAACCCCAAGCTGTGGATTAAGAGCTCACCACCACCGGTGCTGACACCCCCCATTGCAGGTTTCTGCAAGTTTCTTGTGTGTTTGTACTCTAGTGGGATAACATTTAACTAAGTAGAATGCACGTCGGCTGCTAGACGGAGATTACCATCACTACCATAAATTACACATATGTGGGTTGCACCAACATTTTTTACATACGTACAGCTGAAAGAAGATGAGTTTTTAAAAGACAAACTGTAATGTCTATGTTTTACGTACTTTAAAGTATATGTAAGCCCTCACCTTGTAAAACAGCGGTTCTCAACCTGTGGGTCGCGACCCCTTTGGGGGTCGAATGACCATTTCACAGGGGTCGCCTAAGACCATCGGAAAACACATATTTCGATGGTCTTAGGAACCGAGACACTGCTCCTCTATCTGTCTCAGGCGATGTGTGGGCGGGATGACATGCTGCCCCTGTCACCTGGCCACACCTCCAGGATCACTCAACAGCTCCGCCTCCTCGCCGCTGATTGGCCACCGGAACTGTAGCTCAGGAGAGGCACACAGGCGGCCAATCACCGGTGAGGAGGTGGAGCTTGGAGAGGAGGAGCCGAGCAGCAGCGCATGTAGATCAAAGAAGATCGAGCGAAGGAGCTGCTGGAGCGAGTGAAGAGGAGAGCGGCCAGAGAAGGAAGACAGCTGACAGGTAAGTGCAAATTTTGCTGCTGCAGCCAGGTATGCTGGCTGTAGATGGGAGAGGGAGAGAGCGAGCCCAGGCTGGAGCAGGGGTCAGCAAGGTAAGTATCATTGGTGTCAGTGAAAGGAATAGTGCCCCATCACTTGTGTCACTAATACCAATGATGGGGCACTATTTCTCCCACACATACACCAACGATGAGGCACTATTCCTCCCCCCACTGACACCCACGATGAGGCACTATTCCTCCCCCACTGACACCAATGATGGGGCACTATTCCCCCCCCCCCACCACACTGACATCAATTATGGGGCACTATTCCTCCCACACTGACACCAATGATGGGGCACTATTCCTCCCCCTGACACCAAAGATGGGACACTATTCCTCCCACTGATACCAATGATGGGCACTATTCCTCCCACTGACACCAAAGATGGGACACTATTCCTCCCACTGATACCAAAGATGGGACACTATTCCTCCCACAGACACCAATGATGGGACACTATTCCTCCCACAGACACCAATGATGGGGCACTATTCCTCCCACTGACACCAATGCTGGGACACTACTCCTCCCCACTGATATCAATGATGTGGCACTACTCCCACTGACACCAATGATGGGACACTATTCCTCCCACTGACATCAGTGATGTGGCACTACTCCTCCCACTGACACCAATGATGGGGCACTATTCCCCCCCCCCACACACACACACTGACATCAATGATGGGCACTATTCCTCCCACACTGACACCAATGATGGGGCACTATTCCTCCCACTGAAACCAACGATGGGACACTATTCCTCCCACTGACACCAATGATGGGGCACTATTTTTCCCACTGACACCAATGATGGGACACTATTCCTCCCACTGACACCAATGATGGGGCACTATTCCTCCCACTGACACCAATGATGGGGCACTATTCCTCCCACTGACACCAATGATGAGGCACTATTCCTCCCACTGATACCAATGATGGGGCACTATTCCTCCCACTGACACCAATGGTGGGGCACTATTCCTCCCACTGACATCAGTGATGTGGCACTACTCCTCCCACTGACACCAATCATGGGGCGCTATTGCTCCCACAGACATCAATGCTGGGACACTATTCCTCCCACTGACATCAGTGATGTGGCACTACTCCTCCCACTGACACCAATGATGGGGCACTATTCCCCCCCACACACACACACACTGACATCAATGATGGGGCACTATTCCTCCCACACTGACACCAATGATGGGGCACTATTCCTCCCACTGAAACCAATGATGGGACACTATTCCTCCCACTGACACCAATGATGGGGCACTATTCCTCCCACACTGACACCAATGATGGGGCACTATTCCTCCCACTGAAACCAATGATGGGACACTATTCCTCCCACTGACACCAATGATGGGGCACTATTCCTCCCACACTGACACCGATGATGGGGCACTATTCCTCCCACTGATACCTATGATGGGGCACTATTCCTCCCACTGATACCAATGATGGGGCACTATTCCTCCCACTGATACCAATGATGGGACACTATTCCTCCCACTGATACCAATGATGGGACACTATTCATCCCACTGACATCAGTGATGTGGCACGTCTCCTTCCACTGACACCAATGATGGGGCACTAGTCCTCCCACTGCAAAATTACAGTTATGAAGTAGCAACGGAAATAATTTTATGGTTGGGGGTCACCACAACATGAAGAACTGTATTAAAGGGTCGCGGCATTAGGAAGGTTGAGAACCACTGTTGTAAAACAACCTATTCAGTTTTTTAAAATAGAAATGAAAAGCAAACATTTGTGTACAGATATAAAAAATACTATAAATACCTTTTTGTTTTTGTTGATTACATACCCTCTGTTCACAACTGCAAAAGGATCTTAGAGAGCTTGGGGTGGAGAAACAGCAAGACACTGGTCTTCCTAGTGAATGGTTGTGCAAGGGGGGCATGTCAGCACAAGCCTGATTGTTGGATTAACTCCCAGCACAACCAGAACACTGACCACATTGTGTTCCCATGGTTATTGTGGTCTGTTTTTAATAGGAAAGCAGAGTGACTGGCAAGAACACAAGAGATTTCACACAAAAAAAAGCAAAACAGGGGCACAGTATACGTCTTCAAACAAGTACATGGTACAACAGGCACATATAAGGAATATGAAATATTAGGTTTACATATTCTTTAAGTTGTTATTGCATACATTACATTAATACAGCATTTTTTCTATAGAGTCTTTAATGTAAGTTTTTGTTTCTTTGGTTTGGTTAATTTTTTCTATCTTTTGTAAACAATTTAAGAAAGCTTAATGGTAATCAAATTAATATTATTTTGATTCATTTTTGCGGGGCCCTTAAGCTGCATGGGGCCAATAGGGCAGTGCCTCTGTTTTGGACAGAGCAGAGAGAGATTAAAACACCTGTAAGAATGTTATTGCTATCTGTTTCCCTGGTAGGGAGATTGATGATTGTCAGACAGAACAGGAGGCAATGGGGAATCTTCTCAACAGGGAAGCAGAGCAATAAAAGCAATTTTCCATCAGTGAGAATGGTTTGGAACCATTAGAACAATTTTACTCTACTAGCAATCAGACTGGAAAAGGCAGGTGTCAGGGATCCAGGTATGACCAGAAATGTGTGGACTGACACAGGGAAGTAACAGGCTTCAGGAATGATATAATAATATGATTTATTATTAGCTACCCAAATATACAACGCTCAGTAAATAAACCAACCTTCCACTAATCTTAGTATGTGCAGGAACATAGGCGCAGTCAGGGCTGGAGAGGTGGAAGGGTCAGGCCGGCCATATGGTTCTGTTAACGACCGTCTGGTGATACCCCTAGCAGTCCTCAGGACAGGCTTCCCCAGGGCGCGGAGTCTAAGTCCCAGTCTGCTTATTCACCAGGGCCCCTGATGGTGGGGATGGACTTGGAGCAGACAGGAACCAGGTCGCGGCCCCTGAGTACACCTGCTTGTGGTAGAGGGATCCGCCAGAGGTATATGCAGGTAGGAAGCCTGATGTGAAGAGGCAGAAGGTGTGAGCAGGGATGGCTGGATCCGTGCAGGATGGATGGATCGTCTGGGTAGCGTAAGGCATAGTCAGGCAGGCCAGGTCAGCAACGTGTGGGCAGCGAGGTACCGAAGGAGCAGGCAGAGAATAATTAGGTTCACAAGCCGGGTTCAGGAACTCACGGCAGCGCGGTACAGAGGATCAGGGAGAGAATGGTCAGGGTCACAAGCTGGGTTCAGTAACTGACGGGGAGCACGGTACAGAGAGGATCAGGCAGAAGGATGGTCAGGCAAGCCAGGGGTTAAACAGGAGACGGTCAGCAGGGTCAGGAACAATGCAGAGTCGGCAACAAATCAGATAGGCAGAGGAACAGGAACACAGGATACAAGGTACAGGGGCTCATGGGAAACATACACCAAGGCACTGATCACAGGCCTGGTCATTCCTTAAATACACCTCCTGCAATCAGCCCCAGGTGTTGGCTGACTGCAGGCGTGAGCTTCTGGCTGCTGAGAGCACCCGCTGGTCAGCCCTGGTACTGCACCCCACACGGCAGGTGAGTCCCACCACCAGTGCTGAGTCCATTCCTGACAGCAAGCAAGGAATAAGAGGCCATTTGGTGAAGTGTATGTACATATGCTGACAAGGGACATGCTGATAGAAGGAGAGAATATGGTGAGTAAAGGAATGACCTCTTTAGTCTGCTACTACCCTTTACTGTCCAGTCAGAAAGATAAGGGTGTAGAGAAGACACTACTGTATTTCCTAGATTTCAGTGGTGTCCATACCTCCCAACTTTCTGAGATGGGAATGACAGACACCTACTAGCAAAAGTATGTAGGCATAGAACACACCACCTGCCACGTTCACCTTAAAGAAACATTGTACAAAAAAAAATGTTAGGTTAAACTGATAAGTGCATTCTTATCACTACTATTCCTTTATATTGGTTTCTGAAGTTTACAAATGCAACAATTTAGAAACCGGATGAAAGGTTTAGCACTGCAAAACATTTTTTGATAGCTAAGTAGTGAATTTTATATACAACTATATAAATCAGACCAAAATGAGGGAAAAATGAGGAAGAATGAGGGACAGAGGGACTTTCTTCTAAATGAGGGACAGTCCATCGAAATCAGGGACAGTTGGGAGCTATGGTGGTGTCACCTACTTGTCTGTGCTGTATGCCAAGGGCAGAGGAAAATACCATGTTTTTTTACCCTAGGTATATTTTATATCTAAAAACATCCATGTGCATGTAGCTTTTAGACAGAGAGGAAAAAGACTGACCTTCTGTTAAGTTTTTGTTGCTGTCTCTTTCCCCATAGATTACTTTCACCTCTTTATGTATATTGGTGACCCTTGTCAATGAGAAAGAAATGGGAAATCCAAGATTGTTCTCAAAACAAAAGGTGAGGAGAAATCTTACAATGGGGACACCTGTTCCAGGGAAAGCTATTTAAGAGGGGAATACCTCTCATTTTGGGAGATTTCATCTAACTTTCTCTTGCATCTCTAAAACAAGACGTAAAGGGAAATTTCCCTCATGGTACACAGATAGTGAAACAATAGCTTGGGAAGGGTTTTTACCCTTACCTACTCTTTCCAAAATAAAAAAAAGTTCCAGGTTAAACAAGCTCTTAAAGAAGAAGCATAGTTAAACCATTTTTGGCTTTAATTCTTCTTTGGATCAAAGGAGTGCAGTTAGTTCCCCACTCCTGTGACCCATTTTCAACCAACAGCGGGCTGAAGCTCATTGTCAGCTGATGTCACAAAGCCAGTCTGTCACGTACCTGATGGGAGACTAAAATGACGAGGTCGGCCTCACTTGTGTCACTAGCCCTGACCCCACTGGAGTTGGAACAGATGGAGTCTAGGGACCAGGGGGACAAGAGCGCCAGTAGTTGTTGTTTGCAGCACTTTCAGATGATGACCTTGGAAGACTGATGATCCTCTGACTCAGGCACGGTAGTAGTAGGCTGAACAGGTCTTGTAGATTGCCAGGCCTGCACCAGAACAAGGCAGGTAGTGAGGGTAAGAGACAGGAGCAGTGTGATAGGGATAGCCAGGGTCATCAACAGTCGGGCAGCATGGTACAGAATCTGAAGGAAAGCCAAGGTTAGGAGCAGAGCCAAAGTCAGGAAACAGTATCAATCAGGAAAGCAATCAGAGTCAGGTCGGGAACAAGCCGGGTCAGCAACAAAGGAATCACACAGGAACAAGCAGGACAGGGGGGAGCTGAAGACCAGTCAGCAACTAACATGGGCAGAGACACTCTTTAAATAGCCCATCTTTGCCGTGCGTGTGTACGTGCGTGTGCGCGATCGCGCATTTCTGTGTGCATGCGCACAACCGACCACTCTTCTCCGGACGTTCCTATGCCCATGCGCACTTCTATTCACAATTTGTCTTGCCGGAAATCCCTTACACAGTCATAGCTCTGAATAGATCCCGACCAAATGGTCGGGGAGATATCTATAAGCCTGGACAGG